AACCGGAGACCGTTTTACGTCCTCACGGGTGACAACGCATCTGCATTTTGATTATTATTTGAGGATAGATGTAGATATTTATGGGCCACAGCATCCACTTAACATTAGGTGAACTGTGTGCCTGTTTGTCACACTTGTTCTATAAAAAATATCTAAAATGTTGTTCTAAAAATGAATGTAAAATAGATATTTTTGCACGATCTAACTTGTCAGGGTCGTAAGTAAAGGTTAATGTTAGTTTTAGAAACGGGCCTATGAATTTTTATAGGGAATGTTAATGAGATCAGGTTTTGTTAACCGTGTGATGATTTGCATATTACATTGCATTAATTTCAAAGTATTAATCAATTATTTTGTAAATTAATGTTCGATAACGAGCCTGTTTTCCTGACATGGGTGTATAAATAGGTTTAACGATCAATTAGTTAGTTATCTTTTTTATGTTAATCGTTACGCTATCATTATCCGATCTAAATTACTTATATCGATTTGTTAAATTGAAAATACCTAACGGCTCTGTGGCGCAGTGGCTTAGCAATGAGTTGCAGCGCTAAGGGCCGCGGGTTTGAATCCTATGGCCTACAAATAATTATTCCAGGTCTTGATGTGTGTTCTTGTGAAATATAAGCATGTAAAATGACCCCACGATAGAGTAGAATATTCTAGTGTGAAGGTAACGTTTTTTTTTTTAAAGAAAATTATCAAATATTTTACCCACTTAACCATATAGTGGCGGATAACTGTATATTCGCGATGAAAGAATATCCACTACCCCAAATCGTCCCGTGGTCATCGTAAAAGGCGACTAAAAGAAATTAAAACAGGAGCATCTTCCTGCTAACAACACTCATTAAAAACTGCTGCCTGCAAAGTGTGATAACTATGGCAAAATCCTCTCAATAAGGAAATCTTTGAAGGAGGCCTATATTTAGCAATGGGTTTTTATAGTATAAGGTGACAAACGAGCACACAGTCCATCTGATGGTAAGTGGTTGCTGTGGCCCATAGACATCTACATCTATCCTGGATTACGAATCAAAATGCAGATGTACTGTCACCCGTGAGGACGTTAAACGGTCTTCGGTTCTCTACACTCATCATACGAAACACAGCATCATTACTATTTTACGCTAGTATTCTGTGAGAGCGCGGTCTTTCCCGGTCGAGCCGACCCATTCGTTGTAGCACTATACTGCTATCATAATTGCAGCATGGCACTTAGAAAATAGGCTGTTATGAACATAGTTTTGCGTGTTTAACCAATTTTAGCTAGCCGACACACAAACTTTAAAATAAGGATTATAATTTATCTATAAAATATACACGTGTAATGTACTGTACCGTGTAGTGGACATTTAATATACGGCCGACGAAAGAGTACATCGTGTTTTCAAATTAAAATTACTTAACATATTTTTGCTTGTTTAACTAACTATAACTAGCCGAAACACATATCTGTATATAAAATTGATTGCAGTACGTTAGTTTCGCAATAAATAATAAATGGCGATACTGATTTTGGTGAATTTTTTGTGTTGGAGTTGGATGATCTAAATGATTCACAATTGTACCCGGTAGTTGTCACTGTTGTTGCGATCCCGAAATCACCCGTGCTAATCCGGGCGGATCGATAGTAGATACTCTATAAAATAAGAAGTATACACGAGTATGTGCTGTCCTGTAAATAGGCATTTAAACGGCCAACTGAAGCTCCACAACTGCCTCTTAACATTGTTAAGAAAACACTCAAGCGTGCGGGCTTGAGTTTACCTAGAATAGAATAAATATAATATTATGCAATATAGCTGCAAGTAAAGCCGACTATACATGTTGGACGAGCGAAGGCGAGTGCCATACCAACGTATACCACGTATATACCAACATACCAACGACAATACTAACGTATACAACGTATACCCCATTTATCTAGCCTCGCCATAGCTAGTCGTCGCTCGACTAGCTGGATGACTGCAGGCGAGCGCCAACCTGTATTCGATTCGTTTGGTGTGCCTTGCCACCACACTGGATCGCTCGCCACGACTCGTTTGGATTAGTGTCGGTTTTTCTGCACAATTTAAAGGTGCTCGCCTGCACTCTGCAAGTCGTGTGGTCCACATGTTAATCGGCCGTACGAGTATGTTCGTTCTTACAAACTTGGCCAACATGTAGACTGTAGCACTCGCCTTGTATCAATTCGTCTACGCTCGCGTTGGCTGATGGCATGGCCAACGTGTATTATTGACGGCTTAAAACGCACTACGAATCACAAAATAAAGAGTCGGTCCATATGATAGTTAAAGTATAGTTATTTAAGGTATTACCACAGTTTGTAAGCGTTGACCACTGGGTTACATGTGGATTATGAAGACTGACATTAAATCCTTTTTTGCCTTATTTTTTACGTACTTTATTTAATACGTTAGTAGTGCTTAGAGTTGTTTAATTAAATTATTAAGGTAACGTTAGCCTCTTCGGGTTTTTTTATTTTTTTGTTGGTAAGAATTACTTCGTACATACCCGCTCAATAAACACTAATCCCGTCACCACTAATCCTATCATCACTACTCCCAACACCACTGAACTAGGAAAGACACACCATCGTCGATAACACGACACGTGTTTCGCCTCTACACGAGGCATTCCCAGGTGATGTAGACTCTGCCGTGGCTGACTTTATTATACTGGATTTTCGCAAAGTAACGCCTGATTCTATTATTATCATAAAATATAGAATAAATTAATATTTAAATTTGGTGAAAGTATACATCGTGAGGAAATCTGCATGTTTAAGGAACAACATTTCGAAGATATGTTATTGTTCCAAAAGTCCGTAACTCCATAAATGAGAGGAATTCCGTGCTCAGCTGTGGGACGTATAAACACACAGACATTTTATAAATAGTTATTCATGACTTAGTGGCATGCAAACTTTCGCCTACGATGCCCGCGGGAAGTTATGATATGATATAGATCTTATATTAGATATAGAGAGACTGGTAAAGAAGATGTACTGATAGAAGGAAGATTTATCCCGCTGGGTGTCTTGCTGGTTCTTCCCAGGCTAGAGGTTCTTTTTCCGTACCAGTATGATAAAAGTAAAAAAATACTTTCAATAAGAATGACTTGTAATCTATATTGAATAAAAAATATTTCGTTCTATTCTATAAAATACAAAGGAATCGAAACCAATCAATTCGCGTCTCTTCGTTTTTATAGTTGTTCGGTTAGTAAGTTATTGTTTTCAGTTTAAAAGCACAAGAGATCTTAATGACGACCGCCAGCGAATTTCGTTTTATGTTTTCAAACATCTGTCGACGTAATTTGTAAATTAATCGCAATTTTGTGGCGTCCCTTTTAAATTGCGTCTATGAGAAAATCTTAGTCTCGCACAATGTAATATCTGAATGCCTTTTCACGCCTATTACGTATGAGGGTGGAACCAATTTTTCAATTTGCTTCTTCGAATAGTCCGATTACGTGTTTTATGTGATTTACTTGCGGGTCTTTGTAAGTAATAATTTATCCAGTAAATGACGCCTAGAATTTTGTTATATATATATATATATATATATATATATATATATATATATATATATATATATATATATATATATATATATTTGTAGGATTAAATGTCTATGTAAGGAATTCTTTAGGACACGTAGAAAAAATTGACATGATCACGTTCACGTCGTTTTGACTTTTCACACGTGAGCGATAAAGCAAATAATTGCTACAGAAGTGACTGATAGAATCTCCAAGACCCTGGATGAAAGTTTATCGACCTAATTTTCGATAAGATGGAGCCTTATACTTAACCAACGAGCATGTATATTAAGATATATGAATGCAAAAGAGATGTGTCATAATTGTGCCAAATGAGAGTACTAAGGGCTCGCTGTAAATTTTACAGTTTTTTTTATAGGTTATGGTGACTAACGAGCACCCAGTCCACCTGATGGTAAGTGATTGCTGTGGACCAAAGACATCTACATCGATCCTCAATTATGAATCAAAATGCAGATGCGTTATCACCCGTGAGGACTAAGATCGATTGCCTCGTTTCCAGTAAAAAGGATCTCCGGTTCTCGACACTCACCATACGAAACAGCAGCATGAAGGTACTACTTTACGCTGGTATTCTGTGAGAGCGTGGTCCTTCCCCGGTCGAGCCGACCCATTCGTGCTACAACAGTACTACTACTAATATAAGTGTTACATAGCTCTACCATGTATGCGGGCAACCCGGGTTAATTCCAGTAGTACCCAGCTACCTTCCCTAGAGAAATTAGGATGTTTTTTATTTATTTCAATAGTGGTTTTAATTTTAATCTAAGCATACCATTATAAGACTTCATGATACAGTAAGCTCATTCTGCGTAGATCCCGATGCGGTTAACATCAGTACGATACTTCACTTACACGTACACTTCAGTTCCCCCGTCAAAGCACCCGAAATGAGAATGAACGTTATAAAATCCATAAAATTAGTTTCATTCAAACAAGATTGTGTTTAAATATAACTAAAAAACTAACGAAGTATTTCGCGTATATTAACTTTTTTATATTCCCGACGTTTTGAGCACTTTACAGCACCCATGGTTAAAATTATTAATTTTTGTTCCAATCTACGCAGTATGAAGTATGAACTTATAGTGTATTGAAGTCTTAAAGTTGTATGCTTGGGTTGGGATTTATTTTTATTAATTAAAAGACCCCAAGCTGATGGTAGCACCCATCCGTCACCTTGTCTATTGAAATTAGAATGTTTTTTGATTTCAATAGCCTCGCGAATCATCCTCGGAAGGAATCGGTGTTCTTTAGCGAGGATTTGTGGTCTATCAAATCTGATGTAGTGACGGAGGTGATCCTGTACATGTTCTGAAACTACAGACTTCCCGGAGCGTCGATTGTAATAGCAATACGGACAACCTTGGAAACATTATCATGAATTTAAAACGAATTCCGTCAATTCTAATAGTAAACATTGCTTGCCGTAGGCACTACGGAGCGAGCTTGCCTGATCACCGGCTCGGTAGACGGAATCATGATGGTGCTGGACTTCATCATGGAGAAGATTAAAGAAAAACCCGAGTTGGTTAAGCCGTTCCCGGAGGGCGTCGACGCCAAGATGCCTCAAGATAGGGATAAACAGGTTTGCATGTTACTGCTCATTCACATTTACTTTACTCAAAATATGGAAAAGATTCGCACAGTCTTTCATACATAAAGTTTCTGCCTGTCGAATAAACCATTCACTTGTCATATACCTACTGTTTGTATATTTTTATCTACCTGGAATACTTTATGCGGTTTTTTCCGTACTTTGTAAAGTAATTTTATATAACTTAGCTTAAAAATGTATCATTGTAAATATAATGTGAGCACTTAACCTATAGCAACGTAGTACTATTATTTATTATGTGCTATAGCAATATATAACTGGAATCTGTATCTATAGAAAAAGTATTATTTGGAAGCGGGGTTACCTAGTACAAGGTTCACTGAGTTTACTTATTATTATATTTTTTACCTATCTGCGTAATAATTTTCCTATAGAATAGCCAAACGAGTACACAGTCCACCTGATGGTAAGTGGATGCTGTGGCCCATAAACATCTTTCCTCGATTAAGAATCAAAATGCAGATGCGATGCCATCCCTGAGGACTAAGATGAAATATCTCTTTTCCAGTAAAAGGGGCTCCGGTTCTTTACACTTACAATACGAAACACTACAGCATTAAGCTGCTATTTGCGCTGGTATTCTGTGAGAGTGTGGTCCTTCCAGGTGAGCCGACTCATTCGTGCTGCGACCGTAATATATCTGTAGCGTGGTCCTCATAAAAAATAAAGCGTACTATTACATTCCTCATATGTAGTCCATGTATATTATGTTATAGGTTATAGCACATGTTATAGTAATAAGTCAAACATATAAAACTTATTTTTTGGCAAATTTGATATTAGATTTCTATAAGATAAGACCAACATACGACATACAAACGTGACGATTTAGACGTTCCTCTTCATTCCTTTATTCCTCTTTGGGACCAGATCCAGCAGTAAACTTTTATGGGATCATGAAAAAGGAAAAATATATCTTCTTTCTTTTTCATCCGAACGTGACTTCTGTAGCGATTCTTTCTTTTATAAGCGACTTCTGTAGCGATTCTTTCTTTTATAAGCGACGTCCATATCCGACATCGTATTGTTCAAGATCTATTATATCGAATCAGAATTTGGCCTTTTCGCGTGAATTTGTAGATATTTGTTAGTAGATGTGAATATAACTAGCTTATTTTAAAACTAGTACATACCAATGCTCTCTTTTTTGCTGTTATGGCGAAAAGCCACTATTTTCGTCCGTCAACACGCGTCACACCCACGTAACTTCACACGTAGTCCGTGAACGCGCAGATGACACGCGATCGTATGACGAAATCTGTTGTGCTGTTAAATACATGTACATGATAACGATGTATCTGGTTATTCTCTTTGCTATTATCTGTCGGAACAGTCGCATCTGCTAACGTATTGCAATAAACAATAGCAAGGGTATGATGTGTGACCTATGTGATCCGGTGCGTACGCACTACGCAGTATCTGTCATTATTCCGTCTATTTTTTTTATGACCACGTGGTTTATTGACAAGAGTGACTGGCTACTTCGTTGGGCAATATCTGGCCAAAATTCGTGAAATAGAAAAGGAATAATTTTTATCTACTATAAATTATATTTCAATTCCTGGAAGATCTGGAAGAAGGACGCTTTTTGAAACAGTTTAAAAATATTAAGTTATATGATTAACTAGCTTACCAGGCAGATGTTGTTCTGCCCTTTTCGATGACTCTTTCTCTTGTCCGATTAAAATCCTTAAATTCTCAAAAATGTGTCTCATATGAGTGGGTCATTCATGGGCAAAAAAACTATCCTATCTCTCTGAGTATATGTGGAAGTTTAGTTGCGGCAGAGTTGTTCTGCCGATATGTCCTATTAAAAATCCTTCGCAAAAAAAAAATTGAGGGTCACTCATGGGCAAAAAACTATCCTATCTCTCAAGTTGTACCAAACTGCACACACAAATTTGACTAAAATCGGTTAAATATTTTAGGAGTCCATCGCGGACAAACAACGTGACACGTAATTTATATATATTAAGATTCAGATTATACAAATTCTTTTAGAAACTACTTTGTGGCGACTACCTAATTCCCAGGGGTTATTAATTAGGGTTTCTTAAATGACACTATACAAGCTTTATTTAATTTTTGTACTCAATTCGAGTGTATGTTTTTTTAAATTTGTTAAACCCCTTTGTTGTTTGTCCCTTAAACTTTTTTCAGTGTGAACCGATTTTGAAGATTATTTGAAAGCTGGTGTTTCTCGTGTAGTTTTTGAGTTATCCCTGATAATGCGTAATGGACTTCGACTACATTGATGATATTCTCATTTTATTTACATTCGATTACACAGTCACAGTCGATTGTACGTGTATTGTATTTTGTAAGAGTGTGGTCAACAACCATAATATAGCTGCAGACTGGCTCTACCACGTATAAAACATTCTTACGTAGCTCATAGTATGAATCTAAAACATTCTAATATAATATGCCAGTTACAGGCGTGTACATTTTGCTTGTTCATTTATCCATGCGGTGAACGTACTCGTATTTATTCATCGCCGCATTACATGTTGTTGTGATTGGGATACATTACAGATAACAATTACCCATACCGATATTGTAGCAAACGATAAAACGGGAATGGGTAGGTTTATGAGTTTGTTTATGGCACTTAATATATCCTAACAAGAGAGCTTTCTGTTGTTATTCGGAAGTTGCTGTCGTCTTCGAAAATCGGAACATCTAATCAAATTAAATCTAATCATCATAATATACAAAATTTAACATGCTCAAAGTACAAAAACTTTATTTAACTAAGTTTGTATAAAAAGGGTTATTATAATATTAAGGAATTTATGGACGATAATAACCCCTGCGAATGAGGTTATCGCTACCAAGCTATTTCTAATTTGTTTTATAAGCTGTTATTTTAAAAAAAAAACGTGCTGCTAGATTTCTAGCTGGTTCTTCCCAGGACAGAGGTATTTTTCCGAACTAGTGGTAAAGTAAAGTAAAGTAAGTTACAGCCTATATACGTCCCACTGCTGGGCTCAGGCCTCCCCTCATTTCTGAGAGGGTTTAGGGCAAGGAAGTGTCCGCCGCGCTGCCCAAATGCGTGTTGACGAACTTCACATGTCTTCGAAATATTTTTTTTCTTATTCCTCAGACATGCAGGTTTCCTCACGATGTTTTCCTTCACCGCCGAGCACGTGGTAAATCAGCACTTAAAATTGCAATTAACAATTTCATTGGTACCGGCGGGAATCGAAACCGGGTTACTCGCGTTCTGTTATATTTACAGCGAGCGTTAACCACTGAGCTACCACGACTCTACTAACTAGTGGTAAATTAATTAAAATTTACTGACTTTCAATAACTATCATTTATAGTTTACATTGAATAAATAAGTTTCTGTTTAAAGTTAATCTGGGAATCTGTGCATGAAAACAAAATAAATAAATAGTAATAACAGTAACATACTAAACATTTAATATTATAGTTTATTACTTACAATATTTGACCAGGCTTCGGCAAAACAAACCCAGACATAATTGCATTATAGGTAACTATGGCAAAATCCCCTTATGAGGAAGCCTATGTTCCACAGTGGTTATAAAGACAAAGAAAGAAATGGTTATATGGGTGAACATGTACATAGCGATATATTTGTCGGTGTGTTTAGCAAACTCACCTAGAAATATACATAATACGAGAATGAGGGGAATGTAATTTATTTACTCATTATATGATCATTTCAACTATGCCTTACTTTTTTTATTAATGAAAAAATATCTAGAATCCAAATTAAAACTAGAAAAGTCATAAACGACCCGACGCCTACGGAATCGCGTGCGATATGGTATCACCACGCCCCTCTGACAATCTGCGGATACTGCAATGCGGTAACCGGCGCTGATGCTCCATGACACAGATAGGATAGCTTTTTGGCTTTCATTGTAGCCATTTAATAGATCTTTTAATACTAGCCACGAACAATCTGTTCCAATGCGTCAATTTTATTGAGTAATACGGGCAATATCTTTGAGTGGAACTTATTTTAAGATATGGTCAAACAAAGTCGCGTGTTCGTATGTGCATTCGTATACAACTTAAAAACTACTGTATAGATTTTGATTCAGTATCTTAATTTAAAGATGTTCTTGAAGAAGGATTTCATGTATTTAAATATTTGATTAAAATTAGTAGATAAACTTTGAAAATACTGTTACAAAACAACAAGAAAATACAGTACTTAATTAAAATAATTTATCGAAGAGGAATTACTTACATAATATTTGATTAAAATTAGTAGATATAGAAACATGTTGGCGTTTTGTTATTAAATCGTAAAAAGAGATAACTCCCTCTAGGATTTATTTTCTTGGATTATTGATAGAATGTTCTTAAATAATATCCTATAAGAATCTATTCTATTTTCTTATCTTCTCTTAACCATTTTTTTCTTAGGCTTTTTAGGAGTGAATATTGACGAAAACTTGACTGCAACCATTCTCCTCTTGTATAATATCATATATATATTATACGCGGAAACATTATATATAATTAAACTGTCAATCATGCATTTACAAACTAGTTTTAATTTTTAATTACAAATTAATTTAGTTTATTCAAATGAAGTGTGTTGTTAACAAAGTTTTCGTTCCAGTATTCAGGCCTCGTCGACACTGCGCAAATAAGATTATTTCATTTTGTTGGAGTGAATTTCAAAATAATTAAAATAATTACATTTGTATAATCTCCTTTAAGATGGTAATGTAATGTCAGTTGGGGTATCTTTATATTATGACGTGATCGCTACCATGTTGATGCTAATTGTTTTCATATTTAATTTTACAACAAATATTGCAATAGAGTAGTTCCATTGCCAAACCAGTGATAAAAGCGTAAATGACTTTTAATAAGTATTATTATTATAAACTAGGGGGCGTTCAAGTATTTCGTAGCGTACGTTTGAGATTTTTGACCCCTCTACACCAACGTCCCCTCCCTAAACGTTACGTAACACCCAA